GAGATTTCGAGGTGCATTAAATATTTGCATGCAAGAATTGAAAAAGAACTCACCAATGCATGTAGTGCTACTACTCATGTAGTGGCCAAACATGCATGCACCGCAAGTAATCCCAATTAATGCATCAATTTAGTTTGGGTAGTTTTCTAAAGTACGAGATACATTCCTCCACTCACCATGTGTCTTGGTTGATGAGATTTCAGATTTGAGCCCTATAAACCGGAAAGGAGGGAGTAATGTGTTATTTAGGAAAAGACACCTTAATTGATACTCCCAACATTTGTAGGCTTAGCAACATGATCGCCAGTTGAGGACGCTGTTATGTGATCACCAGTGTGTATATATTCCCTCTAGCATCAATGGCCACACAATCTTTATTATTTTTAGTATTCAGGTTGATATGCCTGATATTCCAAAATTCACACTTCTAATGATCATGCATACTTGTTTACTTTCTGCAGGAGAAATGAGATGTCATGCTGCCTTCCACGAGCGCGCCAGATTTCGCTTGTTTCATTAATTATGATCATCAGCATAGATGTTTGCTACTGACAGTGACAAGGCTGCATCAATTATGACTTCATGTAAAGAAGCAAAAATATTTAGATGCCAAATGGTGCAAGACACATGATGCCGAGAAGGAGGTTGCCTTAGTCAAGCAAAATGCGGATGAGGATGGCGAGCACAAGGGCAAGGGAAGAATGGCAAACCCATGCAGCCACACCCTAAGGACTAAATCCATGTCCGGAAGAGGAGAAGGAAGGTTATAGAAACTAAGAGCCACACCCGGAGATCGCGCAATTATGTTCATGATGCTATTATTTATCCCAAGTTTGTCAATTTTGTTCGTGGCCTGATGTTTGATTTACTGCTACTTAATTGCTACATGAGTTAACATGACATAAGTATCCATATTGAGCAATAATTTGAGGTGAGCATCAAAACTGTTCTTGATGTTTATTAAATTACATTTTTGTTTATACTGATTTGTTGCACTTGGGTGTTTGCACTTTTATTTGCATTTCTTGTGATTTCTTGATTAGAATTGATTATAAAGGGGTGGTGTTGATGGTCCCTACACCATAAACACTACCCAGATCAGTCATAGGTGTGGAAAAATATAACTCCCGAGTACCAATGTAGATTGTGGAGCTCTTTTACTGGGATATGTAAGTGGGGTTTAGGGTTTACTGGGATATGTAAAGGAGATGGGATAGGGAATAAAGCAGTCCAAGATGAAACATATATAGAGACCAATTTAGTGAAACATACAATAAAATCCAACTACAGCAGAATCAGAATGGACGTGCAATTTATAACTCTTCTTTACTCCCCAACATATATACGCGGATGTCACAATAATTTTTCAGTTCAGCCTGGTGTGAAGTTAATTTTCTCCATATATTTGTGTAAATTGCTAACAAATATAGCGTAAAAAAAAGGGGCGCCGCAACGCGCGCCATCAATGATCTAGTTCCTATTAGGAGAAGGAGGAAGGCGGAGGAGAGAAGAATGATAAGGGGGGGCCGACCCACCAAACCCTAAACCAATTCGGTTTGGGCCTAGGGGGGCGCGCGCCACCACTTGCCCGCTGCCTCCTATCTCCACTAGGGCCCATTAAGGCCCATTGACTCCCCGGGGGGTTCCGGTAACCTCCCGGTACTTCGAAAAATATCCGATACACTTCGGAACCCTTCCAGTGTCCGAATATAACCTTCCAATATATCAATCTTTATGTTTCGACCATTTCAAGACTCCTCATCATGTCCGTGATCTCATCCGGGACTCCGAACAACCTTCGGTCATCAAATCACATAAACTCATAATACAAATCGTCATCGAACGTTAAGCGTGCGGACCCTACGGGTTCGAGAGCTATGTAGACATGACTGAGACACGTATCCGGTCAATAACCAATAGCGGAACCTGGATGCTCATATTGGTTCCTACATATTCTACGAAGATCTTTATTGGTCAAACCGCATAACAACATACGTTGTTTCCTTTGTCATCGGTATGTTACTTGCCCGAGATTCGATCGTCGGTATCATCATACCTACCTCAATCTCGTTACCGGCAAGTCTCTTTACTCGTTCCGTAATACTTCATCCCGCAACTAACACATTAGTCACAATGCTTGCAAGGCTTATAGTGATGAGTATTACCGAGAGGGCCCAGAGATACCTCTCCGAAACACGGAGTGACAAATCCTAATCTCAATCTATGCAAACCCAACAAACACCTTCGGAGACACTTGTAGAGCACCTTTATACTCACCCTTTTAGGTTGTGACGTTTGGTAGCACACAAAGTGTTCCTCCGGTATTCGGGAGTTGCATAATCTCATAGTCTGAGGAACTTATATAAGTCATGAAGAAAGCAGTAGCAATGAAACTGACACGATCATAATGCTAAGCTAACCGATGGGTCATGTCCATCACATCATTCTCCTAATGACGTGATCCCGTTCATTAAATGACAACACATGTCTATGGTTAGGAAACATAACCATCTTTGATTAACGAGCTAGTCAAGTAGAGGCATACTAGGGACTATATGTTTTGTCTATGTATTCACACATGTACGAAGTTTTCGATTAATATAATTCTAGCATGAATAATAAACATTTATCATGAATTAAGGAAATAAATAATAACTTTATTATTTCCTCCAGGGCATATTTCCTTCACCCTCCCCACATATTATAGGTGGGAGGGGAGGAGAGGCAGCCAGGGGCGTCCTAGGGTTGGCCGCTGCCCCCTAAGGGCCCTGCCTTGCCCTGCGCCCCTTTTCCATGTATGCATGAAGGGGAAGGAAAGAGGGGGGGTGAGGGAAGGAAGTGGGAATCCTAATCCACACTTTCCTTGCCCTTCCTCCCTTTCCTTCTCCTCCTCCTATAGCCTTATTGGGCGCACCAGCCCCTTGTGGGCTGGTGTGTTTCTTCACAAGGCCCATATGGCCCATAGGATTGCCGGGGGTACCCGAAACACCTTCCGATGACCCGATAAGTACCCGATACCCTCCGGAACACTTTCGGTGTCCGAATAGTATCGTTCTATATATCAATCTTTACCTCTCGACCATTTCGAAACTCCTCGTCATGTCCGTGATCTCATTCGGTCACCAAATCATATAACTCATATAATACAAAATCGTCATCAAACGTTAAGCGTGCGGACCCTACGGGTTCGAGAACTATGTAGACATGACGGAGACACCTGTCCGGTCAATCACCAATAGCGGAACCTGGATACTCATATTGGCTCCTACATATACTACAAAGATCTTTTATCGGTCGAACCGTTATGACAACATACGTTATTCCCTTTATCCATCGGTATGTTACTTGCCCGAGATTCGATCGTCGGTATCTTCATACCTAGTTCAATCTAGTTACCGGCAAGTCTCTTTACTCATTCCGTAATACACCATCCCGCAACTAACTCATTAGTCACTTTGCTTGCAAGGCTTCTTATGATGTGTATTACCGAGAGGGCCCAGAGATACCTCTCCGATACTCGCAGTGACAAATCCTAATCTCGATCTATGCCAACCCAACAAACACCTTCGGAGATACCTGTAGAGCATCTTTATAATTACCCAGTTACGTTGTGACGTTTGATAGCACACAAGGCATTCCTCCGGTATCCGGGAGTTGCATAATCTTATAGTCGAAGGAATATGTATTTGACATGAAGAAAGCAGTAGCAATAAAACTAAATGATCAATATGCTATGCTAACGGATGGGTCTTGTCCATCACATCATTCTCCTAGTGATGTTATCCCGTTCATCAAATGACAACACATGTATATGGTTAGGAAACTTAACTATCTTTGATTAACGAGCTAGTCTAGTAGAGGCTTACTAGGGACACGGTGTTTTGTCTATGTATCCACACATGTATCAAGTTTCCGGTCAATACAATTTTAGCATGAATAATAAACATTTATCATGATATAAGGAAATATAAAATAAAAACTTTACCCTCCAGGGCATATTTCTTCAGGTTCGCCCCTAGGCGGCAATATTTCAAGCCCCCTGGGAGGCGAACGGCTGGAGATGCTCTTAGCACTAAACTATGTTCGCGCAAACGGGAAGCCTGTCACGATGCCGCGTATGAATCGGTGGATGAAGCCTCTATCTGGTCAGCTGTCACTTAACGTTGATGCATCCTTTACTGAAGAAAGTTACTCAGGGTCATGTGGAGCTGTCATTCGAGATCTCCTTGGCTCCTTCGTTGCTGCATCCACGGCCAAGCTTGAATATGCAGCCGATATTGTAGCAGCAGAAGCAGCTGCTCTGGTAGAAGGCCTTAAGCTAGCTCTACAGCTTGGGATAAATTCTCTTCTGATCTAGATGGACAATTTGATTGTGGTTGAGTCTCTAAAAAGCAACAGTGGGCATTCTATGGTGGCTGCTCCAATCCTTGATGAATGTCGTAACTTGATGGAAGATTTTGGGAAGGTCGAAGTAGAACATTGTAATAGAGAGTCGAATATGGTTGCTCATTATATTAGCTCAGAAGGAACGTGTGGAACCTCCGTCTTTGTGGATGGACACACCCCCTGAGTTTCTCTCTGTTGCTTTAGTGGATGATGTAAGCATCTTGTGATTAATAAAGCAGCCATGACGGCCTTCCCGTCAAAAAAAACACGTAATATTAATGTTATGTAAACTTCCTAATCTAACCCTCTCTCCCCCTGATTTTAACAGGGATGACCTTGGACAATGCTACACCTACGAAAAGTAATATAGGAGTTTTACGTAAAAGCTGATGTGGAGAAGACTAATTGGGCCAAAATTAGCAGCTGGGGCCCATCCCCGGTGAAAATCAGGGGGGCCAAGAGGATTTGTTTGAAAGGCTTCGTAGGTCTTCGTAGTCCTTGGTAGATGTAGCATTATTGTGGCCCCTCCTGTCCTAATCTTCAATCCTGACTTGTCACGTTTTATTTGTTACTTAAAATACGTAAAAACTAGCACGTAGACTCTTTTTAAAATCATGGGGCATCTACAGATTGCTAGGTTGGCCGGTTGGGTTCCCCTTATAACGCACGTTCGTGTGTCCCTCCCACGTACTCGTCGACCTAGCAACTACAGTACTCCTAGTTTGAACCGCGAGCAGCACGTTGACCACCGAGTTTCGGGCATGGCGATCCAGCCGAGAACGTGGGTGGTTTTCCTGCTGCTCGTGCTGCTGTCGTCGTCGTGGCCCATCGCGGAGGCGTCGCACCGCGTCTTCCCCGACCTGCAGTCCCTGGAGGCCGAGGGCGGGCGCGCCGTCGACGTCGACGACTCGCTCCGCACCGGCTACCACTTCCAGCCCCCCATGCACTGGATCAACGGTACGTACTTACGTGCAGATTGAATACCTCGCTGATCATGATCGACATTGTCTTTCGCTAGCTTGATTTTTCGCTGCATACGTGTGTGCACACTGCAGATCCTAATGGCGTGATGTACTACAAGGGCGTGTACCACCTCTTCTACCAGTACAACCCCAAGGGGGCCGTGTGGGGCAACATCGTCTGGGCGCACGCCGTCTCCACGGACCTCCTCAACTGGCTCATGCTCCAGCCGGCCATCTACCCGACGGCGCCCTTCGACGTCAACGGCTGCTGGTCCGGCTCCGCCACGGTCCTGCCCGACGGCACGCCCGCCATCATGTACACCGGCATCGACGCCGACGGCCGCCAGGTGCAGAACGTCGCCTACCCCAAGGACCTCTCCGACCCCTACCTCCGGGAGTGGGTCAAGCCCGACTACAACCCCGTCATCGCGCCGGGAGCCGGGGTCAACGCCACCGCCTTCCGTGACCCGACCACGGCGTGGCGGGGCCCCGACGGGCTCTGGCGCCTCGTCATCGGGACCAAGGACAACCACCGGGGCCTCGCGGTGCTCTACCGGAGCCGAGACTTCCGGCGCTGGGTCCCGGTGCGCCGACCGCTGCACCACGGCGACACCGGCATGTGGGAGTGCCCGGACTTCTACCCCGTGTCCTCCCACGGCGTCCTCGGCGACGTAAAGCACGTGCTCAAGGTCAGCCTCGACCTGACGCGGTTCGAGTACTACACCTTCGGCGCCTACGACCACGCTACCGAGACCTACGTGCCGGACGCGGTGCTCGCAGATGGCAGCAACGGGCTCCGCTACGACTATGGTAACTTCTACGCGTCCAAGACGTTCCTCGACCCGGCGAAGCAGCGCCGCATCCTGTGGGGTTGGGCCAACGAGTCAGACTCCACGGCCGACGACGTCAGGAAGGGCTGGGCCGGCGTGCAGGCCATCCCCAGGAAGATCTGGCTCGCGGCGAACGGCAAGCAGCTCATGCAATGGCCGGTCGCCGAGGTCGAGTCCCTCCGCGGCAACCACGTCAACATCACCGACAGGCTCGTCAAGGGCGGGGACTACTTCGAGGTCCTCGGGCTCACGACGCCGGCGCAGGCCGACGTGGAGGTATCGTTCGCGGCGATGGACCTGGACAAAGCCGAACCGTTCGACCCGGCATGGCGCGGCGCCGACGCGCAGACGGTGTGCACGGCGCGGGGTGCGGACGTCAAAGGCGGCGTGGGGCCGTTCGGGCTGTGGGTGCTCGCGTCCGACGAGCTAAAGGAGAGGACGGCGGTCTTCTTCAGGGTGTTCAAGGACGGCGACGACGGCAAGCACGTTGTGCTCATGTGCAACGATCCCTCCAGGTCGTCCTACGCCGACCACCTCTACAAACCCAGCTTCGCCGGCTTCATCGACGTCGACATCGTCAAGACCGGCGGCAAGATACCTCTTAGAACATTGGTACGTTAAACCCACTTACTAGACCGTCTTAACAGTGGCAGATTTTTCTCAACGATTATAACATAGCTGGGGGGCCGGGGGCAACCCCCGGGTTCCTCTCCGGCACTGCATATTAACATACTTCATCGACGTCCCCTGCACTAACTAACAACTGTTATGCTCAATGGTGAATTCTGCGCAGATCGACCACTCCATGCTGGAAAGCTTCGGAGGCCACGGCAGAATGAGCATATTGTCGAGGGTTTACCCGACAAAGGCCGTCGGTGACAAAGCGCGCCTCTACGTGTTCAACCATGGTGAGTCAGACATCAAAGTTACGCACCTGAATGCGTACGACATGCGGTCGGCCAAGATCAGCACCGATATCAATCAACCGATCAGATGATCGACGCGCATGATAATTGCACATTTGTATAGCTAGATTGTTAGGAAATAAGTATCAAATAACGGACTTGAGGGCTAGACAGGTTATTTGTTGTGTATCTTTTAGTTACTGCAAACTAGCATGCACTGCATTGATGATGCTCTAAAACTCAAACAAACATTGATGATGATATTCAATAGTCAATAAATTTCCCAGCATAGAAACTCGTCAGTCTGAAGGATGCAATCTGTAAAACACCATCAACATCTCAAGAATTGTCTGCAAAAAAGAACGTCACATTCAGTGGCGGAGCTAGACGGTGATTATTGGGGGGGCTGAGGAAAAAACGCTCAATTTCCAAGGGATAAAATACCCAAAAAAATTCAATCTCAGCCCTCCAAAAAAATTTCTTCA